ATGACATTTTCTCTATGTTTATAGACTCTCAGGTTAAAATTTGCAGACTTCTCTTCTTTTTCAAATCTTTGCAACTATTGATCTGAACTCCCCTTTTTGCTTTCCCTTTCTCCTTCTCTCTCTTTCCTTTTCGGTGTCCGAATGTGGTCGGTCAGGAGTAGAGAGATCCTATATATGGGAGAAACGACATCAGTCGCGATTTCTGATTGGTGTTATCCCCCACCTAATTAAAGCAACCTTATTGTGCTCGCAGTGAAGAGTTGTCACATGTTTCTTTTCTACAGCTGAACTGATATATACACATATCTAAAATAGGTATGTAAAATAGGTATCTTTGTGTATTTACGAAATACTTCCTGACAAAATAGAAACATAATTATGTTAAAAAAATACATAACGTTATTGCAATAATACATTCAATAAAATTATAAAACTAATAGTATACAATATGCCGTTTATCTTTTTGTGTCACATTTTTAATTGCTATATTATTTAATTGCTATATTATTCAAGAAGAAAAGACAAAAACATTAATACTTACTTAACCTCATCCTGACGGAGTTCATGATTTTTACAATGAAGTAAATAGTTTCATAGGAACTGGTCAGCTGATCAATTGGAGCGGATTAAATATGGCGATGCTGAATATGTACTAAAGGTAGTAATAGGGAATGAATGTCGCTTCTCTCATATATAGGACTTTAGCCGGGAGCGATGTGGTTTCGCTTGACTCGGTTCGCCCTAGGTGGTGCGTGGGTCCCATGATGGTTTTTTACCGGACAGAGAGGGGGGGGGGAGAGATTGACGCTCTTTCTAATTCTAATTCTTTCCATCTCTACGGTTTAATTCCTGTGGAAGGTTGGAGGTGTCTGGGAAGCGACTGGCCAAATTTACCTCGTCAACGAGGACCAGGGCCATTAATTACAAAAGATTGTCCACACATCCTACTGTCCACATGAGTTATAATTTATTTAGGATAGAAAAATTGTTAAATACGTATACTTATTTTGTTAACTTTTTTTGCTTCTTAGCTACCTGTTGGCGATCTTGCTGCGTGCACGATGAATTTGTGATGACACAGCCATGCGATCACCGTCCAAGCGTTTCCCGCGGTATAATTGCTTCGAAGGCACTTGGTCGAAAAAAATAAGATTTTCCCTGCTTTCCAAATTTTATTCAAACAGACCTCAAATGTGGGCGAACGTGTTTTACAGTAGATGCGGAAAGGATTTCAACGGTAGCGCAGTAATACTTGTTCACCACGAGACGAGACACGTGTTGTTGACAAGACAGAGCGGCCATAATCTGAGTGTTTTAGATCGATTACGCGCGACGCATGCGTCGCTTAACAATCGATATCTCGTGGATTGATCGATTTATCGATGTGATTAGACGATATAACTGGTCGCCGTAAAGGGGGTACCAAACATGCCGCTCGCTTTGAAAGGGTTGACTTTCAATGTGACATACAAGTATGAGTTCGTTAGCGTAACATAAAAGGCGAATTGCTCTGATGCGATTTAATATCGTATTTAGTTATTGCACTGAAAATCAACAAGGGTTAACATCTAAGTATGCAAACTGAAAAACAATATAATAAGTCATTCTTATTTTAAGAGAAGCTTGCGTGAGATATAATTAGAAGGTAACAGCTAAAGACACTTAAATGACACTAAATGTTTGATAATGCATGAACTAGGCTTCAATTGGTAATATTATTTAGACAGTGGCCTTATGTAGGAACTCTTGGCAATCTTCACGGTTGCGGTGCACGCAATGTCGTCCGGGATTGGGATGAACCTCCTGGATCCGCCCCATTGAAGTGGGATTAGGTTCTGCCTTATGAGCACAAGTTGATTAATTGACAACTGAGTCCCTTGTTAGCCATCCATTTGATTCGGACTTTTAGAGAGTGAAGATATTCATTACTCCACCTGCGCCAAAAATGTTGCCAGATTTGCTCTACGCATTGCTACTGCAGCAGTCTATTTTCGTTGACGTCGCTCAAGTCAACACAAGGAAGACCATTTAAAGTCGTACCAACCAAGAAATGTCTCGGACTTAGGTACGCTAGATCGTAAGAGTCGGCGCTTAACGGTAAGAGGGGACGCGAATTGAGGATAGCCTCTATTTCACAGAAGGTCGTTTGCATTTCCTCAAAGATCAAATGAGCCTTGCCCACGATCCGAATCATGTGATATTTGGCAGATTTTACGGCTGCCTCCCATAAACCTCCAAAATGGGGTGCATTAGGCGGGATGAAGCTCCATGAAATTTCCAATTCGCACAGAAAATCTTTAATCTTGGACTGTTGATCATTATATATGTCGTATTCTTGACTTTGTCTATGAGCGACCACGAAGGTGGTCCGAATACATGTGCGCGGGTCTACCGCTACGCGAAATGAATCGCTTAAAAGCGGCAATAAAGGCTTCGGACGTAAGGTCACTTATTAATTCTAGGTGGATCGACTTCGTGGCGAAGCACACAAAAAGCGAAACATACGCTTTGTGACTCCGCACGTTTCGACGATTTCCCTCACGTAACAAGAGCGGCATAGTCTACATCGCAGCGAGAAAAAGGTCTAGAGACGTTAACTCGGCTGGCCGGTAATGAGCCCATTAAGGCCTCTGATTGATTAGCCCTAAAATAAGTTATACATTTTTGTATCATTCCACGTACGGTGGATCGCAATGATAGCGACCAAAAGCGCTGGCCCACGAAAGCTATCGTGACTTGCAAACCCGCGTGTAAGTTTCGTGTGTGTTCACGCTCTATAATATGCTAAATTAATATGTGTTTGCGTGGCAGGAGAATTAGATGGCACGCATTGAACGCGAGATTTGAATTTTTCAACCTCTCGCCAACTCGCATTTGTCTACTTTCATCTAAGAACGGAGACAGCGATAAGATATCACTAGAAGCGTTTACAATTTCGCTCTTGATAGTGCTTGATATTCGCAATAGAACGCTCGCTGTTGCATCGTTCCGCAAATATAATTTAAAGCGGTAAATATTTCAACGGGGGATATGAAAGTAGATACTGCGTATCTCCCGGTGTATCTTGGATAATCTTAAACAATACACTATGATGCGATATTTTTTTAAATTGGAATACTTATTTAGCAAGTCGTCGATGATGCAAGGATGAGAAGTGGAAGCGGCTACGCGGATTTTCCTTTGTTCGGGAAGATCATTGTTTAAACACGTGAAGACACTGGGCGGCCAGAGTTTTTCATCCCATTTTAGAAATTCGGGGCCACCTCTTAGCATTGATCAAGTCACAGGGATTTAGCCCTCGCGACAATGTATCGGCAGGGTTGTCGGAGTATACGACATGATGCGTTTGATATTTGTTAGGCGCTGAATTTCACCCACTCTATTTGCCACAAAAACTGACCATCATCGCGAGGGAGAAGTTATTCAGTTTAATGCAATTCTATGGTTGTTGAATCCGACCATAGAAGTCGGGCATTAGAGAGTTCCAAGAACTCTCTAACCATGTTGATTAATCACGCCAATAGTAAGGCGGCCGATAGCTCTAATCGCGGTAACGAGACGGTCTTGAGTGGCGTGACGCGAGACTTTGAGCACAGTAACTTGGAATGATGGTCGGTTGAGACCGAGCTTGGTGCGAAGGTATATGCAGGCTCCGAACGCGCGTTGGCTGGCGTCGCAAAATCCGTGCATTTCCACGATTGGTTGATGGACATTGAGTTTAACGCATCGAGGAATTCTTAATTAATTCAAATCACTCATCTGTTCTGAAAGAAATCCAATGAGTGTGAATGTCCTGAGGAACGGACTCGTCTCAATGGATGGCCAATTGCCACAAATCTTGCAAGATGAATTTTGCGATCACAATGACTGGATCCAAAAGGCCCAGAAGATCGAACAATTTAGCGACTTCGGAAAGTCGTTTTGATACAACATGAGCTTCTATATCAAGCTTGCAGAGAAATTGGAACATATCCTGGCACTGATTTCACTGTATACCCAGAATACATGAGTCCGCAAAATTATCTCTGATACTGGCATGATTGTCTATTTCCAATAGTTCAAGGTAGTTCGAGGCCCATTTGCTTAACTCGAATGCTCCTAATTTTAATAGCTGAATGGTTTCATCGCGAATTAGTTTTAATTCGTCGTCCGGTGAGCATGTCATCGACATAAAAATCCCGAAGAACACATGTTGAACCGCGAGTGAATTGATGAGCGTGCTGCTCAGTCAAATGCTTAAGGCACCTAGTGGCCAGAAATGACGCGGAAGCTATACCGTAAGTGACGGTAGTGAGTTCGTACGTATCGACATTAGCAGAGAAATCATCGCGCCAGAGAATTCTCTGCAGACGCGTCTGGAACGGATGCACTAAAATCTGCCGATACATTTTTATGATGTCAGCGGTGATGACATAAATGAAAAAATGGAAGCGCATTAAAATTGAGATCAAATCTTGTTGAACAGTCGGTCCCATTAGAAGCGCATCATTTAACGATACGTCGGAACTGCGGCAAGATGCATCGAATACAATATGGATTTTCGATGTTTGCTCGACCGTTTTGAAGACGCAATGATGGGGAAGATAAAACGATATTGTTTCTTCCGCAGTGGGCTCTAGGCGTCACATATGTCCCAGCGATAAATATTCGTCGAGAAACGCCGCGTATTGAATTTTAAGCGTAGGGTCGTGCTTGAAACGTCTCTCGATGCCCCTCAATCGCTTGAGAGCAGACTCACGCGAATCGCCAATTATTTAACATTTGCTCTCTGACTGGAAGCTTGACTGTATATCTATTCTGAGAATTTTGAGACACGTTGTCTAAAAAGTGACGCTCGCAAATATTTTCCTCCATTGTGTAATTGTCTGGTTGAGCAGAAATGTCGTCCATTTGCCAGGCACGATTGACATGTTCGTATAATTCCGCATTAGTTACGGACGCGTGAACCTTTGAAGCGGTCGATATGGTGCTGCTCAAACGACCGCCAAAATCCAGCTCAATCATGTTTTTTGGAGAGTTGGGTGCTTATCTGAAGACTTGACTTGACCAATGCATATCAGATTCCAAAACAACTCTGCTCCGATCAAAAGATCAATATCCGACGATATGTGAAATTGTGGATCAGCTAAACGAATGTTGCGCGAAAACTTAAATTTGTCCCGCTCCGAAGAAACCGCCGGAATTTTATTAGTAACCTGATCAGTAACGTTGCATTCGATAGCCGCGATGTACGAGTTGAGTCGCGATTGTAATTTGATTCTAACCACGTGATTGGACGAGGTTACCGTGCCGGAAATCGAGACATTTAATGGACGCGTTTCTAAACTGAGAACTTTCACAAATTTCTTGGATACGAAGTTCGCTTGCGATCCGCAACCCAACAAAGCTCGACACGTCTTGCGCGAGTCGTCACCGTCACAAATGAGCACAACTGCAGTCAAAAGCATGACTTGTTCATTATTAAATGATCCTGAAGCATGAGTCGCTAGGACGGAGGGGGGAGGAGTTGCCTTAGATGCAACTTCCTTATCGTATTATTAGTCGATGGGGTTCGCGGCTAAGGGCATATGAAGCAGCGTATTGTGCTTTGTCTGACAAACCTTGCATTGATTAGAAATGCATTTACTTGATGCATGAGAAGAGAAGTGCAAGCAATTGACGCAAAGTTTGCGACTGTGAATTTCCTCGACCCTTTGTGATACTGGAAGTGCCACGAAGGTTTTGCAATAATAAATGACGTGATCTCCTTGACAGAAGTGGCATTTAGATTTAACGGTAGCCGCGCACGACGATGACCACTTAACATTTGGCTGCGATTTTGCCTCGACCTTCTTTGCAGAAGTGCTAGCCCTTGTGATAGCCTCGAGTACCTGATATCGATGAGCGATAAAATTTAACAGCTGTTTAAGCGACGGCAACTCGTTGCCTGTTAAGAAAGTTTCCCACTCGCGTAATGTGAGCGAGTCAAGTTTAGAGGTTAGAATGAGGACGAGAAGATCATCCCAATGCGTCGTGGGATGCTTCAATGCCTGAAGGGCGTGCAAATGTTTCTCAGCGCCGTCAGAGATTCTTCTGAGATCGATTGTATTTTCCTTTGTCATAGTTAGCAAATCCATTATAGTCTTGACGTGAGTTTGAACAATCACGCGCTTGTTGTCATATCGCTCTCTGAGAATTGACCACGCGACATCATAATTAGCGTCCGACAAATTCTAATGAATTGATACAGCGTTTGCATCGCCGGTGAGTGACGCTCGTAGATACTGAAATCTTTACGTATTTGAGAGTGAGGTGTTGGAATGGATAACCAGTTGAATGTATTGAAAAACGGGAACTATTCATCATATTTGCCGGAAAATGTTGGTAAATTTAACTTAGGCAACCGAATGTGCGTACTACGATCTGAGCGAACACTTGAAGATGGAGAAATTTAGACGTTTGCAATGTCGGCGAAGAGGAAATGAGCTCACGGATCTTAGCAGATAACGCATAGAAACCGTCTCGATCGCAGCTTTCGGACTCATCTAATGATTCTAGACGCAATTGTACCTCATTATATTCCGCCTAATAGTGCTCGAGTTTCGCCTTCCACTCTTCGAGATGAACCACTATTGATGGGCTAATGGCGGCGAGTGACTCTACATAAGTTCTGATAAGCGTACATGATGCCTTTATGGTCGCGCGTTGTCGCTTAAGTATCGCCGCTTCTGATTGGTCGATTATCTTGAATGCAAATACGAACGCGTGTACGCAACGGACGCGGAGAAGGGAACTTGGTTGGCAACGGAGCAATGGTCTTCCTTACCTTGTTAAGCACGCAATTAATCCTAGAAGAGAATGCGATAGATGCCTTCCAATGGAATGGAAACGTTCCTCTCGCAAATGTTGCGCCGTTGAGGAACTTCCGTTGCAAGTCATCTGCATTGGGCTTTGTTTTTCGCCGTCGACAGGATTTCGCTTGCAAAACATTGATTTTGCGTCAGGATGACGTAATATGAGCCGGGCTGCGTCTCTGATGCTTAACGGGCCTTGCGGCTGCTTTATTGAATTGTGTGCTGTCGTTTATACTGATTGCTGCTACTGCGACGCTTGTCTCGTCTCGATGAGATACTCTTGTCTGACTGCCAAATTGCTGCTCGCCTTCACTGAGGCCAAATACTTGACAGAATCCGGCTTAAAGGACCAAAGAAATGTGGCGATCTTGCTGCGTGCACGATGAATTTGTGATGGCACGCGATCCCATGCGATCACCGTCCAAGCGTTTCCCGCGGTATAATTGCTTCGAGGGCACTTGATCGAGAAAAATGAGATTTTCCCTGCTTTCCAAATTTTATTCAAACAAACTTCAAATGCGGGCGAACGTGTTTTATAATAGATGCGGAAAGGATTTCAACGGTAGAGCGGTAATATTTGTTCACCACGAGGCGAGACACGTGCTGTCGACGAGATAGAGTGGTCATAATAAGTTGAGTGTTTTAGATCGATTACGCGCGACACATGCGTCGCTTAACAATCGACATCTCATAGATTGATCGATTTTTTATCGATGTAATTAGACGATATGACTGGATGCCGTAAACAATAGAGGTACCGAACACTACCCATGTGAACAGTAAGGTTTATAGACAGTAGCGCTTGGGTTCGGGGGTCAGGAGGGACATAGCCGCCCCGAACAAAAAAAAACATCCTATCCGTTTGGAACCTAATCGCCTAGAAGTTGCAACCTAGACAATGTTCGTTTAAAACCTTTCTAACCCATTTTAAATTTCGTGCCTGTTGGAAAAGTAACGAAACGCATGCGCATGAGATCAAAGATGCAAAAATGCATGTAGAAGGTGATTGTAGGACTGTGACAGATTTTCTAACCTCAATAGTCATCAATTTTAAGGCATAATATCTTGATTCGCGAGGCCGAACGCTTCTTTCTGATAGATTCTTTTATTTTATGCAAAAACGCGTCGAATGAATATAATTTCATCGATTTTTGAGGTGATCACCCTTCATTAGATCTTTACCGCAAATCTTAATTTTAAGCGGTATTCAAAAATAGTCAAAAGTCCAAATAAGTTTCTGTTACATATTTAATTTAATCTATTATTTTGTACAAAGTTTAAAATTCCAACATCATGTCAACATTGGAGGATAAAATTTTGGGAGAAAAATTACACTACTACTGCAGCAGTTCTAGCGAAGATGACGGAAATGATTCTGGAGATTCCGATAAAGAATGTAATGATGTCAAATATACTGACAATACTGCACAATATGATGCACCTTCATATTCGGAATGGGATGGAACTTCTAGTAACACAGGACCTAAAGGTGTTATAAAGGTATAATTGGACACACACACACACACACACACACACACACACACACACACACACACACACACATATATATAGTAAAAAAAATAATGTTGAAAAGGATACGAGCCAAGTACAATAAATTCATTATTAATGATATATTTTGACATAAAAGTTACAAATGAAAAGCGTTACAAGAACAAATGTTTCAACTCCGATTGGATCATTATCAATGTTAAACATGTAATCAATTAAATATAAATATAATAAAAATTATTAACAGTTCATTATAAAAATAATAAATGGAATAAAATACAAACTTATATCTGAATAATAAAAAAATGGTATAGCGATTCACTTATAACTTTTATGTCAATATATATTATTAATACTGAATTTATTATATTTGGCTTATAGCCTTTTTCAATATTATTTCTTTTAATTTTTATTACTTGAGCCTATTATGTATTTTATATATATAGTGTTTATTATAATTAAATTTTGATTATAGAAAGATATAAAAATTTAGAAATATCAAATTGATGTATATATGCATATACATACATATATATTTAAGTTTCATTGTCAATTAAACATTTAATATTTAATGTTAATGCGAAATATGTTCTTGGAAGGATTGGCAGCGATATAAACAGTTAGAAACAGAAAAACGAGAATCACAAGAGAAAGAAAGATTACAATTGATCAACAAATTGAGTTTAACGTGCCGCAGTACTTTAGATGAAGAAAAGGAAAAACTGAATGAGACAGATCCAGAATTGGCAAATTTATTAACTGATGAATTTCTTCTAGAATATCAGAAACAAAGAATGAAAGAAATGCTTGCAAAAACAGAAAAACTTTGTTTTGGAAGAGTTATCGATTTGGAAAACACAGATCAGTTTCTACAAGCTATTGATGGAGAAGACAAATCAGTAATTATTATCGTTCACATTTACGAGGATAATGTATCTGGCTGCGAAGCCATGAATGGATGTTTAATATCTCTTGCAGAAGAATATCCATACATCAAATTTTGTAAAATTCTAGGTTTGTTAATTTTGAGATTATATAAAAGTAATGTGACTTCCACTGTCAACGTCATTAATTATGTGTACACGTGCGCGCGCATGCGCGCACGCGCACACACACACACACACACACACACACACACACGATATTTAACGGTCCGCACGATTTTTTAGATACTTTCGATAGTTAAAAAAAAGATTGAAGGATGAATATATTCATCTATTTTATATAGGCTACAACATGCGATAAAACAATTAAAAAAAGATTTTTTTCATAAGGGAATCAAAGTCATCTTAAATTTTTTAAATAGCATCATACAATTTTTTTCTATAATATTGTTGGAGTCTTCAAGATGAATTCAAATCAGTCGAAATATCACTTTTTTAATGTTTTATTGATTTTATTGCATATTTTATTAAATAAATACATGTATATACACATATATGTATCTATATATGTATGTTCTATGCTCTGATCAGAAGTTGTAAGTATTGCTGTTACAAATAATATTACAAATTTAATATTAAGTATCAATGAAATCAGTGAAACATTAATAAAAGCAACATTTCGATAGTAATTTGAATTTGTCTTGAAGATTCCTACTATATTATGGAAAAAAATTGTATGATACTATTTAATAAATTTAAAATGACTTTGATTTTATGAAAAAAATTTTTTTTAATTCAATATATGAGCAATAAGAATATTAACATAGCGCGGAAATTTGCATAAATTTCAATATAATTAACCAATAATGTCTACATAGAATATAAATGTACAATAATTGTCTATACCATCTTATTTGAACGTTTTAGTTTTCTTCAAACCATCAGCAAATCCATAAATACTTATCGTAGATGTCTTGACAAAATTGTGATAATGTTGAAATTCAAAATCTATGTAAAACTGAGGATGAGCATTCTCTTTCTAGTTGGGAATAGCCGTAATTTGTCTCTTTATTAAAAAGCCAAATGACTGACTAAAGAACAAATTATACAAAGAAATTAATTACATTGTTGTGTTTTCAATATATTGTACTACCTTTATTCTCCACAGATTACAATTCCAAATATAGGAAGTCAAGTTATGTAAAAGCAACAAGAAATATAATAAGACTTAGTTTTACATTATACGATTTAAAATTATAACATTTGTTATCGCAATGGGAATCAGACAAGTAATGACCGTCAAAATTTTATTTTGCGAGCCACGTCCGTAGAGAATAATACTTATGATAAGTCAAACTAATCTAATGTCAATATTTAAAAATAAAACAAAAATTAGTTAAAGGCGAATACATAAAGTCACTATTTGAATCTTTCCAAAATATTCACATACGAATAGTGCAGAAATTCTGTACCTGATTGTAATTCAAACTGTTTGATTGCAATTAAATATTCAGCATTTCCAATATGAGTTTCTTACTTAATTTTCTTTCTATGTTCAAGAGTTTATATTCTCAAGCTGCCATTCAAAAGCTGCTGATGATAGTTTGAAGAAAACCGAAACGTTCAAATAAGATGGTACAGACAATTATTGTACATTTATATTCTATGTAGACATTATTGGTTAATTATATTGAAATTTGCGCATCAATTTCCGCTGTGTTAATGCTTTTATTGTCCATACATTTTATTATATTTTTTAATTTTCCGATTTAAAATTTTGTATTTTTAAAATTCTTTTATCGCATGTTGCAGCCTACACAAAATATATTCATCTTATATTCTTTTAAATTTGTTTTAACTGTCGGAAGTATCTTAAAAATCGTGCGTTACGCTAAATACTATATATATATATATGTATATAATTATATAGTGTATACGAGGATGTTCCGTAAATTTTGGCCAATCACTTTTGTATAAATAGAATGGACTAAACTGAGTCGAAAAGTCCTCTACCATTTTGCAATTTTCGCAATAGTTAACAAGATATTAATTGAGATACTAAAAATTGCCAATTATTGATCTTGAATAATTTTTATTACTTAATTATTTATTATTAATATTTATTTATTTAAAATATTATCAACTTTACAAAAAAACTGAAAATAAAAATCATTTATTTTCTTCTCATAGAACTCTTAAACATTTTTTCAGAATTTTTTATCAACTTTTTAGTACTGCATTTTTTATTTTTACCAACATGAGAAAATACGATATTAAAAAATTTTGAAAAATTCTCAGAACTTTATGTAAATAAAGTATATTTTGATTATGGTCTACAATAAAAATTGTCGATCCAATGAGCAAAAAAAAATCAAAATTACACGGTAATAAATATTGAAATGGCGATTTTTTTTTATTTGGACCGTAATCAAAATTTACACAGAATAGGCTTATAACGCATTCAATTTCGAGCAAATTTAAAAAAACATTAAAATTGGTGCGTCGGTCGAATTTCACTATGCAGGATCTTAAAATTGGGAATTTTTCTTTTAAATATTTCTTTTAAAATTTTATTCTTTTGATAGTTGTCAAATTATTATCGATCGATATATATATAATTCTATTTAAAAAAGTGCAGGTCACTTTCATACCTTTTTGATGCCTCTACCAAAAAAAAACATAACCAAAATATGACTCCCTCGAAACCATTTCATTTGAAATTTTTTTATATCGAAAAAAAGCGAGATTTTTCGGATGGTCGATTTAAGTGGATCATCTTGTACGCACGCACCGCGCGCGCAGTTTGAAATTTAAATGTTAACACTTCGGGAGCGTATAAACTAAAAAAAAGTCCTA